AGAACCCTTCCAAGTCAATCACAAGAAAAATTTCAACACAACCAAAACTCCTCCAAAACAACCAAGAAAGATCCCAACACAACCAAAACTCCTCCAAAACAAACAAGAAAAATTTCAACACAACCAAATCTCCTCCAAAACAAACAAGAAAAATCTTTAAACAACTCCAACACCCGTACCACCTTTATCAGACTCTCTCCTTCTCTTGTCCAATCTCGTCTCTCTCTTTCTCTCTCCGCTACAGAATACGAATCGACCCCAAAACACTTCCTTTCCTGCAAGTTCATCACAAAGTCACGGTGCAACGCAAAATATTCCTTGCTAATAGCCTTCGTCAAGAAATCTGCATGCTGAAATTGCGTCGGCACATGAGTAATTGAAATCTCTTTCGTCTCTACCAGCTCCCTGATGAAGTGATGCCGTACATCGATGTGCTTCGAGTTGGAGTTCGTGATCAGGTTGTGCGCAATCTGAATCGCTCCCTGATTATCCTCGAACACCGGGATGCACGGCATACTNAGGGGGGAGCTACGGTTTGCTGCTCACTGCATCCAGCAACAAAACCCTTCAGGCAATCCAATTCATCACTCATCACGGCAAACGCGGGGGGAGGGGGTGTTGCAGAGTCGCAAACATCAAGGGCATCCGGAAAAAAATCACCCTGTGGGACCGAGTCTGTGCCATCCATCAGGCCTACATCAAGGAACATGCTCATATCCATGAGAGGGAAGTGGTCCTGGGGGATGAGGGGGTTGATCACAACTTCAAGAAAACCGCTCGGATCAACGACGGAGGGAGAAGCAATCTCAGACGACGCTACGGCAGCTGTGATTACAGGCTGGTAGTCGGCAATAATCGTTGGCACTACATCTACGTCGATTGGCGGGAATGCACAATGCGGGATCACTACACCGGACGTGGTGGATGGGACGTTCGAAGTCGCACTCGCAGACGAAGGTACAACAGCTGGAAGCTCGGACTCGCACTGGCACTCGGAGGTACAACACCGGCAGCGGCACCACCGGCGGACTGGAAGCTCGGATTCGCACTCGAACTCGAAGGTACAACACCGGCAGCGGCACCACCGGCGGACTGGAAGCTCGGATTCGCACTCGAACTCGAAGGTACAACACCGGCAGCGGCACCACCGGCGGACTGGAAGCTCGGATTCGCACTCGAACTCGAAGGTACAACACCGGCAGCGGCACCACCGGCGGACTGGAAGCTCGGATTCGCACTCGAACTCGAAGGTACAACACCGGCAGCGACTCCACCGGTGGACGGGAAGCTCGTACTCGCATGAGTGCCCGCTCCTGTGGTGGGGGGGAAAGGGGGGTTCGCGACAACAAGGCCTGTCCCAACGCTAGGCGGGGGAGCTTGGGGAGACACACGAGGGAGGGCATCGGGACCGAGGGTTACAGCATTACCGGTATACGTGGGAAGCAAGCGAGTGGCCCAGAGAGAACATCCTACATCGGAGGAGCAAAGGAAAGCTGGCCATTGAATAGATGCACGCCATTTCATCCAACGTAGTTCTCTGCCTACGCTGCGTATGGTGCAGAGAAAACAGATTGAACGTGATGCCGGGGACTACGTACACGTCCGACATCTGCACGCAAAAATCGGTCTCGCCCGAAGGGCCAGGCATGTGAAATGCCATGTTGATGCTACCAACACATTGCACGCGCAGATAGGCACCATTCCCTACTTGGATGAACTCTTTTCCTGCTGGGATTGGCTTCATGTCGAACATGTTTTCGCTACTGCTGACAAACGTGTTGCTCGCGCCGCTGTCGGCCCAAAATTGCTCTCTACCAATCTGCGAAGGGCGACTCTGAACAGACAAAGCGAAACCACTACCATTCTCACGCGCTACCACATTTGGAAAGATCTCGCCTTGTGACACAAAACGTGTCTTGAGGAAGCGAAGATGCCCAGGGGATCCGGCTGCGTCGGGAGGAGGCGAATGGTACGGNCTAACGTGTTGCTTGCGCCGCTGTCGGCCCAAAATTGCCTTTACCTATCTGCGAAGGGCGACTCTGAACAGAAAAAGCAAAACCACTACCATTCTCACGCGCTACCACACTTGGAAAGATCTCGCCTTGTGACAAAAAACGTGTCTTGAGGAAGCGAAGATGCCCAGGGGATCCGGCTGCGTCGGGAGGAGGCGAATGGTACGGGGCATGGGTCGAGNTTGGAAAGATCTCGCCTTGTGACACAAAACGTGTCTTGAGGAAGTGAAGATGCCCAGGGGATCCGGCTGCGTCGGGAGGAGGCGAATGGTACGGGGCATGGGTCGAGAATGCTGCTGTGGCTGCTGCTGCGGCTGCTGCTGGAACGACGGCGGTGGCGGAGGCTCCGGCGGTGGCTGCTGCTGCTGCTGGCAGTACGTTGTCGGAGGCGGGTAATACGGCTGCTGCTGGAACGACGGCGGTGGCGGAGGCTCCGGCGGTGGCTGCTGCTGCTGCTGGCAGTACGTTGTCGGAGGCGGGTAATACGGCTGCTGCTGGAAGCTGTAGTCTGGCTATGGTTGCTGGTACTGTGGCTGATGCTCCCACCCCCCATACTCGTTACCATACGCGGTCCCCTCATGAGGCGCGGCACCATACGGTTGACTCACATTTGCATGCCCGTACTGGGGCCGCCGCTGCTGCTGCGGTGTACGATGGGGAGCTGGATGTCCATGATGCTGCTGTCCTCCGTAGCCGCCGTGAGGNTGGCTATGGTTGCTGGTACTGTGGCTGATGCTCCCACCCCCCATACTCGTTACCATACGCGGTCCCCTNCTGCGGCGGCGGTCCCCGAGGTTGCTGTTGCTGCTGAGACGGCTGCTGTTGCGGGGGCTGTTGCTGTCGTTGGGGCTGCTGCTGTTGCTGAGGCTGCTGCTGTTGCTGATGCTGCTGCTGCTTGGTCTCCTGCTTCTTCCGTTGCCGACGCTGGGTGTAGCATTCGCTGTTGGTGTGCGACGAGTACGGATGATAGTCGCAGCGCCTGTCTCCGTCCGCCCTGTTGTTGCTGCTCCAACCGCCAGCGACGAAAGCGTGCCCCGCGCCATTCTGCGGCTCCCCCTCTCGTGCGGTCACCATATCCTGATGGGCATCTTTCACGACCTTTTCAATGAGCTGACGGGTCAAATTGGGGGGCGGAAGGGCACGCAGCATAGCTTTCTCCATCTTGTACTCGGAAGACAAGTTGTGCACAACGTGCAAATTGGCATCATCGTCGGGGTGTGTGACGCCGTGTGAGGCTAACCTACTGCGCAAAACAGCAAATCTGCCAAAGTATTCCTGCGGACTTTCACCCACTCGCATTTTTATGGCATGGTATTCCGAAGTCAACCGTGTTTTTTCTGCTCTCGCCTTGGGTTCGTAAGTAATATGCTAGAAGTAGTTTCCTACCCCCACTGGGACTGCCATGAGCGATAATCTGGGTAAAGACAGGCATGTAGGTGACTGTCGTGATGATCAAGTTCCACGCCGTGATCGCCTTTTCCACCGTTTCAGGCGAGTGCATCCTACGCAAGTCCTCCATGTCTACTCCTTCTAGCCCGACTGGAATTCTGTGGTCACTCAATGCCACTTCCCTGACTCCTTGCGCAAACATTGCAACCATGTTCGATCGAAAAATCAAAAACCTTGCCTGTTCATCCTCCCCTTGCCTATACATACCATCCCACGGCGCTAGGCGCTTAACCTCAGTCATCCTAAGAGTCGCTGCGCTACTTGGTACTCTACCCATGTCTCCGGGTGTTATCTGAAGACGGCTGGTCAGGGCGTCGGCAAGAGTGCGGGCGATGTCGTGTGCGGACGGGCCGGCCGATGGTCGCCCCGCATGTTGCTGATGGCGTGTCTCGTGGTCGTTCCCGCTCCGGACGTGATCTGTCCTCTGCTGCTGCTCGTCTTGTTGCCTTGTAATCTCGGTCAGTCTCGCTGCTACCCTCTCGTTCACCAACTCGTTGATCCGGGCGTCGTCGTCCATTGCTTGACAGTCGCTCTCTCGGTCTCGGTTTCGGTCGGGATGCTCATCGGTGACTGCTGCTGATCGCCGCAAAGCGATGTAACTGCAAACTGAGCTCGACGCGAATATCGTTGACGACGTGTCATACGCTAGCGTGATCGATAATTCGGGTGGCTCAGTTCTGTGTGTTGGGAGTGTAAAGCAGCTGGGCCATGACGGGCCGTGGTAGGGGAGGGACGTATGGGACAACGTTGTATTCTTCGGGGGCATGCTGGTGCTCGAAAGTCTGTCACGGCATCAAGCACGCGTCACGCTCATCACGCTCAAACTACCAAACGGATCTCTGACTCCTCCGCATCTCATCACTGCAATTTCCGCACGATCGAACTACAGATCGTACCCGTCATACTATGCTACGAGTACCCCCAGTATATCTAATAGCACCCACCCCTCAAACAGAGACAGACAGACAACGATGCGTACACATTGCTGCAGACCAAGAGCGACCAATCTCATCGTACGTACGTGCGAAGCGTCGGGAGCGATTCTTGAAACCAATTGCCTTCCGCTATCAACATACAAGAGAGGGAAGCAAGAAGTGCACCAATCCTCATATATATCCATCTCCGACACGCAAAGCGATTGACCTGCGGGTGCTTCAATGCGTGAAAATCTTTGTCCACCCATCACCAGTCAATGCTGTCAAGTTGTTATTGGTGTTTCAGATATGTTTTTTTGAGCGAAGAAATTTTATACTCTTGAGGGTCTGCGAATGAATACCTCTCTGTTCTTCGCTCCATCATCGGTGTTTTCTTTGTGAGGAGCGCGTCAAACTCATCATCGCAACGATTTCGCTGAGATTACAGTTCCACCTACGTCTGTCTGTCTGCGGCAGATTTTCACATCTTTCCACAGCCAGGTAGGAGCGTCCCACTTGCTGTGTTCATTTGACACTTCTCAAATAACGTTCGTGTCCTCCTTACACTCTGCCTGTAGGCACAACAGCAGTAGCAGAAGTAACCCAATCCAATCACCACCATCATCATGGACCCAGAGGAAGTTGCTCAGTTTTGGCAGGACATAGCAAACCAATGGCATCCAGTGACGGCTCCACGTGTTGTCTGGGATAAGCTGCTGGCCATCGCGAACTCGACGCCAGCGCAACTTCCCGCTGCCACGGCTGCTGCAGCCCCGGGCGGTTGGATAGCGCTACTGTCAACAAGGGGCAACAGGGCCACAGCCCCTATCCGAGATCAACAACCCTGCCGAAAGGAAGACCGTGGCGCAGCAGCATCCCGGTTTCTGCGAAAACCCAGTCACATTCATGAGATCTCCATCAGTTGTCTGCGTCGTTGATTCCCGCGGGAACCACGACTGAACGTACATACACAAAGGAGTGACGCTCCGGTGATACCGTCACGTGCAGAAGGTATAAACGCACACGTACGTGCTTCTTCATGGCGTAGCTCACAAAGAGTTTGCAATCAATCTTGGACACGTGGTCGCGGTGAGATGGCGCGCTCCCGCGGCAGATTCTAACAGACTCACTTCGGTCCGAGAAAGGAATTTTATCATACCGTTCTCGTGTTATTTTCTTGCGCACGCCGTTGCCATCTGTCCGCCTCTTACGGTGCTGGGACGAAAGCCTCTCGCTACGATATGAAGACACAGGTGGGGAACAAAACTGTGCGCAATCGGTATCAAGGGATGTGGAGCGGAAAATCCGCCCTTTTTGTCAAATCCTGTATGTGTCACCTGTTTATCCAATAAGGGTCGCAGGTTTCTAAAGCTGGCTATCAGAATTTTCCAGGAAGCACATCTTCGCAAGAGGAGGCCCGGCAGATCAAACACCAAAATCCAATCAGCCAACTCAAATACACCGGTCGCCCCAGTGATCTAGTGGGTAGCTTTCGTAGCCTGCTAAGGGCCAGGTCATGGGTTCGAGACCCGACAGAGTGAGTTTTTGCTCGCTCATTTAATCCTGGTCTCCGTTGGAAGCGACGCGTTGCTAAGCTCGTTATAAGTAAACTTGATCGACTTCATGAGTCGCGAGGGAAGGGATTACTGAACTGTACCCTTGTCGCGATAATAATATCTCAGGCAGGAACCACAGGAGGGGGTCCAACCCCCCCCTCCTATGTGACCCCGGTTGGGTCGTCTAGCTGGTAGAAATGGAGGATAGGGGCCAGAGGGGCAGGCGACAAAGTCCACTCATGGGAGACAAGAAACAATTAAAAAATGTGCATTATGAACAAACGTATCTTTGTCCGAAACAAGAAGCCAGATTCTTTCTGTGGCAAGATGTTGTCTTGCTGGTTGCGAAAAATACGTATCTTAATTTGTTCAACTGCCCGTCCGGCCGTCATTGTTTCTGGTTGATCCCGCCTGGCTCGCGCACGTCGTGGTTACAACAACAAGCGCTTACACCAAGCAAGTGCCTGGGTACATAAGCAAGGTGGGAGGTGGACACTTCGGATGTGTGCATGTGAATGAACGCAAGAAGAACATTTTGAGGTGGTGGTGTCGACAAACAAACATCGATCTATAGACTACATATTAGACTAGACTAACTAACCGTCGAGACATTCGGATCGTGCGCCATTCACCAGCTACACGAGTCTACGTGTCGGGGTGGCTTGGGCTAGACCGCTCGGACAAAATTCTGCCCGTGTTGCTATTCTGGACAGCGTGTCTGCCGACCACACTGCGGTAAAGGTGAGTGTTACTGCTTATTCTCACGGCAGTCTGTTGATTGGGCAGGCAATTTTTTTCCGCGGGTCCTACCGATGTATTCCGTTGATTCCCTGCTGCCGGGCAAGTGGCACCAAAGGACTTCAAGCGTCACGCTTTGCCGCGTGTTCAGAGCACGTGTTCAGAGTGACAGCAGTCATTGTGTCCTCGTGTCGCCCGTAGGTCCGCACCTGAGTCGCGGTCGGAGTCGAAGCCGGCACTGAGCAGGAAATCTCACCGAACAGCCTCGACGAATGAATAGATTTGTCAAAAATATGAGCGTGCGCACAGCGAACCGGGCAAAGCGCGACAGCTTGTCAGTGGCACCCTTATCTCTGTTCCCTCGACAGCACGCAGTCAATATTATGCTGCTGACTATTGCTGGAACGTACATAGTTCAGTGGCCTGGAAGAGGAATTGTCATTATAAAAGTATTTGTGGCAGGGAGGAGAACAGTGGGTGACAAGCCGCGAGTGAGGGAGCACGTACATGCAGTATTAGTGAACTAGTCCAGGGTTTGGAGCAAGAAAACTGCAGCAAAGATTGCAGGACGACAGTAAACAGGGCTTTTTTGTACTGTGGTAGCCGCTGCAGCAAAGAGCTTGTTGTTCTTCGAGACTGCTGTGGTTAATTTACGCTCCAAACCCAGGGGAGCTGTCATGAACATCCACCATCGTGCTGCTGTTGTATTGGAGGTAGTTTTGCCGGAGCGTATAACGATGGAGCCCGCCGAGACACAGCAGCTCCCAGCGAAGGGCGTGCGAAAAATAACCCCCTCGCACACCCTCATATATCCCGAAGAAGTGGAGAGATGGCACCCCTCGACCGACTTTCGAAGCTCGGTTCCTCCATGACCAAGTGGATGCAGATACCAGTATGTCTATGGAAAGCCCCAGACGAGATGTTTCCAACACCAACATTATTGTTGATGTTGGCACAACCGTGGTTCGGGGGCAATCGAGCGTTGAAAATAGGTCCACAGCAGGGAGGTGCCATCTCCGCGAGCACGTGTACAGCGACCGGAGCAATCGAGCGTTGAATAGGTCTACAGCAGGGAGGTGCCATCTCCGCGAGCACGTGTACAGCGACCGTATTTGCGCTTCCGCACTGCTCAAGTACAACAGGGGCCGGGCCCAGAGTAGCAGCTCAGCAGAGAAGACGGGTAGCGCCGAAGATGCCAAAGCGGCGGCGGTAGTAGCGACCAGAGCGATGACAGCGATGACGAAAGCGACTGATGACCTGTGTCTCAGTTACAATAGTTTTGTGTTGATGTCGTACTTGTTCGTAGCTGGTGGGTCATTACCTGTCCAGATTTGCATGTTTTTGCCCGGACGTAGGCGTGCATGCCATGCGTAACGTCGAAGTGTCGAAGCATCTGAGTATTCTATTTCGTTGATTTGTTTGATAACTGATGGCTCGGAATATTGCATGTAAAACCAGCGTACGTGCAAGATGTTGTTTGTTTGTAGAAAAACAAGAAAAGGACGAAGGACACATCATTTGGCTTTTCGCGGACAGGTGACAGGTGCCCTCCGCAGCAGTTCGACCGCGTCGCAACCCGCTCGTTTGTGTTACTGGACGTACATGCTATGTACGTCGCCGGAAATCGCCGACAATCGCCGAAACTGAACTGTGACTCGCCGAAAAACATGTGGAAGGGGCCGAACGTCGCCGAAAAAGGTGTTCTTGGCACTAAAACAAATCGCCGAAAATTTCCGCGAGACGCCGAAAAAAAACAAAAACATCGCCTACGGGGGAAAAGCCTAGGGGTGGAGGACCTCAGTCCGCGCAAGGGGGATGATCGCACCACGTTGTGTTAAAATGGTCAAGAACCTCGAGTTGCACAGAGTGCTTGCAACTCTCTGGGAGTCAACGCACAAGAAAATATATTGAGTCATGCGCAGCTGCCATCCGTACGCAAGGAAGTAAGCACAAGATGCCCAACACCCTTAGCAAGATGCAGCGGACCCTTAATGCGACTCGCCGAATATCTCACGGCGGTTCGCGCTTGGTGATGTGAGAGCCTGGTCCGGTGAGATCCCGGCATGCGCCGTCCCGGCTTTGTAGGGATGCGAGGTCAATGGTCTAACGACTACGGCATGCACAACTATGAGTACCCCCCCTTTCTCCTGTTTTCGTTGACCTGGAGAATGGAGACCATGTATTGTATGTATGCCTATTGTGGTGTCGTGCACATGGAACCTGGTTGACGTTTGACCTGTTTTGTGCAGCAGGTGAAAGGCTGACACTCAAAAGTAAATGTGTGCCTCGCATGCCTGCACCAAGAACGCGTTGGCGGAGACCACAGGACAATCAATCATTAACGTCATCCACATCATCATTACATTATATTACAGCTTCTCCCTTCTTCCCCTCGCTCCTCGACAAGCTTTTGCTTAGACATGGGTTGTAGTGAAGGGGGGGGTCTTTCTGGCGAGCAGGGCTAGACTCACCCTCAAGGGATGACCGGAACCTTCTTGCTGCTGCGCATATCCGCCGCGAGGCATGCGCGTGGTGGTGTAGTTGGGTCGGCACTGATGGGGTCAGGCGAAAACATGTAGATGCGCGGGCCTCTGGCCGTCGGCGTAGGCAGCGATGCCCATCTCATTTTTTGTGCGCGGAGGCAGACACCGTCAGAAGGTGGACGGGAACTATGTACACGGCCCTAGGTTGGCTAGAGGGCGCTGCATTGCCTCAGTAACCTGGCTTCGCCATCAAAGGAGGAGGGAGCAGGTGGCGACGAGCTGA